CACACACACACACACACACACACACACACACACACACACACACACACACACACACACACACACACACACACACACACACACACACACACACACACACACACACACACACACACACACACACACACACACACACACTGAGATATATGTGTATATGTCTAAATATATATATATACATATAGATAGTATTCTGGGGGTTCATCCTTTTGTGAATGAAAAAATCTGCAAATGTAATGCACAAAAGATCTGCACAACAAAAATGATCCGTGTGAGTCACCCATTCAATAGCAGTATCACGTTAACTAGGCATGTCATCGCAGTCAACGTAGCGCTTGTTTGGAATGAATGACCGCGTTTTGTCAATTAAAATCGCTGCACGCAACATGGTGGCGTTGTGCAGGCAAACCGTGGCTGTCGTTGAATAGGAGCATCTCAAAGATTCGCTGATTGAACGTACTGTTAGTCATACTGTGCTGGAAAGTTTCGTTAGTACAGGCATATTTATAAGCACATAATTTCGCACTGCACTCTATATACTATTGGATTTAGGATGGATGATCGCCAATCGTATTTAGGATTTAGGATGGATGATCGCCAAGGATATTAAATTTCGTAGGAGCAAGTTGTTACAATGCCCTCATTGTTCTAGGACTGCATTGAAGGGTATTTGGTTGGTCTTGGTTGGGTATTTGGTTGGCTTTGGTTGGTTGTTAAGCTGCGTTTACACTGCCAACTTTGTGTTGGCGAATTGCCGAATTGTACCAACTTCGCAAATTCGCAACTGACAAAACGCAAAAGTTGAGCGTCCAACAGATCGATAGCAACATTACTAGTTGAGAGATTAGAACATCGTTCCAATTTCGCCAACTCGGAGTTGGCGAGTTGGTCGTTTTTTGCCAAGTGGCCAATCAGCAACCAGCAATCAAGGGTGTGTCCCTCCACCCAGAGGGAGACCATTTGCGCGCGCGTTTCTGCGGCACGTGTCTGAATGTGGGAAATGGTATTTGAGGTACTTTTGAGTACATGTACAGCTTTCATTCTGACAATAACATGACTATATACAGGGGTGCATTGTTGAATCTGTAGGGGTGACCACCGCTGGGATGAGAACGACAGTAAAACTTTTTCTTGGAATTGTGAAAAAAACTGCAAAAAGGTTGTAACCTCTGCTTTGCCACTCAATTACTGTGGACTGTGGCCGAGCATGCGCGCCACGTAGCGGCAGTATGCCGCAGGTATTGAGCGCATACGCCATTACACATTTATATTAATTTGTTGAAATTGCTCATTTCACTAGAGCGAGAGAAAACGAGCGAGAAAGAAAGAGAGAAAGAGAGAGAGCGAGCGAGAGAGAGAGAAAGAGAGAGAGAGAGACAGAGAGAGAGAGAGAGAGAGAGAGAGAGAGAGAGGGGAGAGTAAGAGAAAGAGAGAGAGAGTGCAACTCGGTGATTTAATAACGGTGTTCGCGCATGCGCAATATCTCACGAGACAATTAATTAGTATGCCGCAGGTATTGAGCGCATACGCCATTACACATTTATATTAATTTGTTGAAATTGCTCATTTCACTAGAGCGAGAGAAAACGAGCGAGAGAGAGAGAGAGAGAGAGAGAGAGAGAGAGAGAGAGAGAGAGAGAGAGAGAGAGAGAAAGAGAGAGAGAGAGAGAGAGAGAAAGTGAGAGAGGGGAGAGTAAGAGAAAGAGAGAGAGAGTGCAACTCGGTGATTTAATAACGGTGTTCGCGCATGCGCAATATCTCACGAGACAATTAATATTATGCAATAATTATGCATTTGAAATGAAGAAGAGTTATCCTAGCATAGATTTATATGATAACATTCCATCAGAAGACCTTACTTAAGAAATAATAATAAAATCTTGCATATAAGGTCCCCGCTGCATATACCGGTCAGTACACAATCTGGCTACGTTCGTGTGTTAGCGCACGCGCAATATCTCACCAGAGGAGTTATATTTTGTGATGACTATTTATTTATGGTTAGGGGGTATCTCAGCATAGATTTATGTAATAAATCGTTATCAGTAGACCTGTATTTATAACTATGAGCGCGCCCTAGCCTGTAGCGTGCAAAACAACTACTTCATCCCCTCCCATCCTTCCCCTTGCCCCCTTGTCTATCGCTCAACCTCTTTTTACGGCCGCTTAGCTATCATCCCTATACCGTCTTTTCTCAGTCTCCCATGTACCCTTCTCTCTCTCTTTCTCAGCAAGCTATATTATACAGTTTTCTTCAGTCATCTCAGTATCTCAGCATAGATTTATTTAATAAGGTCCGGTTTCCGGTTCGGCCCGCCCGCAACCAGTTTGAACGTGTGAGAACGGCCGAAGAAAATTATCTTGGCAGTGAACGGTGAGTGACCAACGCGCGAGCGCCATCTTCATGTACAATTAGCATACGCGGAACCCGGAGCTAAGTGAATCTTGTAGATGGTATTTTACAATGCACACGTGCCGTCGATTGAATGCCCAAGATCGGTCGAAGGTATTTATCCTGGCTCGCAACGGCGACGAGCGACAGTTCATGTATATTAGCATAAGGAAAATTGCTGCGAGATGCTGCGACACAAGTAAAAATTTTGAATCACAATTCACAATCAAAGTGAAAGGATTTACCATGCGCACAAACTGTCCATCGTCCACGCTTTGTTTTAAATGCGTAACATCGGCCTTAGACCATTTACTTTAGGCGCTATGTCGCGATGTCCGAATTGCTATACCTTAGCATAGGAATGGAAATGAGGCGGGCAGTGCCACCCCAACGAAGTAGTAAGATCAGAATTTGCGATATGCACCACTCGCTTGGCCACCACGCTCTCTTTTGCGTGCTCAACAGCAATCCCTACGTCATTTACTTTGGGCGCTACGGCGCCGAGGTGTCGACGTCACGGGAACTCGCGAAGACGCGTCGGAGCCGGATGTTACAGAGAATAAGGTGTCGGTCATCAACCAGTGCGTGCACGCACATGGCATCCTCGCATACGATTTTCATCCGCATCCCCAACATCCTTTTCTTCTCCCTGTTCTCCTCTCCGTTGCCGCCGCCAACAAGAAACAGCACAACAAACAACAACAACAACAACAACAACAACAACAAAGACGACGACGACGACAACAGGCACATCCCGCCCACCGTGCAGACAGAACTAACGGATTTTTGTAATAACAACACTGCGAGTCAGGCAAGGAAGCTAACACGACTCTCTGTGGCGTAAAACCCGAGGTACGGCACGCACAGGCGCAAAGACTCGTGCACAGGCACAGAGTCAGGATGCCGGGGTTGCCACGAGGGCATTGGTGTTGTCCAAGCACGTGCAGCCGAGCTCCTTATGTGCACGCTCGCATGCGTGTACCTTCTCCTGCGTAAAACAGGTACACGTGAGTGTATCTGCCGTGCACATATGCACATGACCGCACGCGTGAATGTGTACGCATGCGTGTATGTGCGAGCATACGTGTACGTGCACACACGCGTGTATGTGCACGCACACGAATGCGTTTAAGCGCACGTACGCGTGTACGCGCACGCACGCGTGTACGTGAACGCATGCGTGTATATGTGCGCGCATGCGCGTACGTGCGCGCACGCGTGTACGTGCACGCACGCGTGTACGTGCGCGAACGCGTGTACGTGCGCGAACACGTGTATGTGCGCGCACGCGTGTATGTGCACGCACGCGTGTGTGTGCACGCACGCGAGTACGTGCGCGCATGTGTGTGTACGCACGCGTGTATGCGCAAATACATGCACGCGTGCGGCCATGTCCATCTGTGTACGGAAGAAACACTCCCGTACACCTGTTGTACACGGGGGGGGGGGAGGTGCACGCATGCGCGCACGTGCACACGAGGAGGAGGTCGGCAGCACGAGCATGCATGGACAAATCCAATGGGCAACCCCTCCGGTAATCCACTGCCCTCGTGGCATCCGCTGTAACTGTGCACGAGTCTTTCCGCCTGTAGTGCGGTACTTCGCGAAGTTCTACAATGCCTATATCCATCGTCCCACGCGTATACGCTAGCGGTCGAGTTGCCAACTCGCAGTCGTCAGTGTAACCGCGCTGAACAGTTCATAGAACGGAAGATAGATAGATAGATAGAAAGTTGGTGCAATTCGCCAATTCGCCAACACAAAGTTGGCAGTGTAAACCCAGCTTTAAGTTGGTTTATGCTGGGTGATTGGTTGGCTGCTCTTGATGTGGGTTTAGCTGGCCAGTGATGGAGTGGGATGGTTCTCTGAAATTGCTGGAAACTCTGGCCGTCAGAGAATGTACGTTGTCGTGCACAGTGAATGTAGTCAGCGAGAGCGAGCTGCTAGTCTATTGCATCATATAGACAGTCAACTCTATCAGGTATATAACGTCTCAGAAAAGATGGTGCCAGTGGAACTGGTTCGTACCTTGCCAGAAGATGGCGGCAGTCTCGAGCCACTCCAGGCGCGTGACGTTGACGTCGGTGACGGAGCGATCGTTGTAGTAGATTGCCACCATATTCTCCTTGTCATCCTGGTTCTGCTCTACTTGCAGCAGACCTAGGCGATCTCCGTTCTCGTTAAAGGCGACAGGACCCTGCAAGTGTTACAACTCGGCATTAGCACATGGCCTCGTGTCGTTGCTAAAGTAAGAAATGATTAAATAAACAATTAACTGACTGACTGATTGACTGACTGACTGACTGATTGACTGGCTGGCTGGCTGGCTGGCCGACCGACCGACCGACCGACCGACCGACCGACCGACCGACCGACTGACTGACCGACCGACTGACTGACTGACTTACTGACTGACTGACTGACTGA